AGTGAAAAGATCAAGAGGTGACAGTCAAGATTGGACGAGGAAGAGGACAAACACAGTGTTGCTTAAAAGTTGGTGAGAAGCAGTTGCATCACTTGCCTCCTGACAGCCTTTTACAACAAGACTGCTTTATTGTGTGTGCCCGTCTTCTGCCAGATCTGCATGAGTGAAAAGCAGTAAGTTTAAAAGAAGTTACTGTGCAGCCGAGAATTTGAAAATTAATTGTGTTAGATTGTGGAGAAGTTCATAGTTCTCTTAATAGAAAGTACTGTTTCAGTTAGAGAAACACTGTTCTGTGGAAATTTGTATTAATAATGACCATCTTTAACAGAAAGATGTTGCTGCTGATAATTATAATGAACACAGTTACTTTTAGTAAGTGTATTCTCAATTTACCATATGCTAACCTTACTGGGACTAGACCGTATTTTAAGGGCTTGTTTGTACTTGACAGTTTCATTGCCTCCAGAATGGCTGTGGGGATAAAGTCCATAGTTATTTTGAATAGCACCGTGCATGGATGGTCTAATTACGGTTTACGGCTATCCTGTGTCAGGTTAGCCTAATCCACTTTCAGAAGCAGTGCTCTGAACTGGTCCCCTCTGTGGGCAAGCCTTTAAGGCATTATGGACGCTCCCTGTTTATTGCATTATGTGAATGTCGATTTGATCAGCTAGGATGTAAAACATTGCATAAATTCTTGCATGGAAATAGAAGTTAGAACTTCAGCAATCAAGCATCTGCATAGAAGGAGCAACACTGGATATAAAAAAATCAACAGTTTATAAAAAATAAACAGCTGTGTGTGGAAGTAAATGTAGAATATTTTACAAATGAAGCTTGGTTTTGCACTGATTTATTTTTGTTAGATGACTAGGGGAAAAAGCTTAAAGAAAGGATATTGGAATCAACAAAGATTCATACCTTTTCAAGAAAGTGTGTCCACTGGTGTAGTGGTAGCAGTAAAAGGTCATTTATTGGCTAACTCGCTGGTGGTGAGTGAAATGTGTAAATGAAAAAGGCAAAAGAGAGAAAACAGTCCTAAGAAAAGATGCAGAGAAGGATCACGTTTATCTGTACTGTGCCCTCATCCTGCTTTTATTTCTATTATTTAGTGCACAGGAAGTATCACTGCTTGTTTTCAGCTGTGTAGTTTGTGGTACAAGTAAATTAACTCTTAATTTGGCTAAAAGGGGAAGAAACCCTGGGGACTTCTGCAGAATGTACTGAAGCCTTGTATCTTGTTGCCTTGTTTTAACTATTTTAGAATCTTCTGAATTACTAGGTTATTGTGTGTAGGTATTTCAGCATTAAGGGTAAGGTATAGGTGACTTAAAAGTTCTCTGTAACTTTCTAGTGCTTTGGACAGTGGGAAGGCTTTGTGGTGTATTGCAGTTTAAGACAGTGAAGATTACTTCTAATCATAATCCCATTGGCCATATATCCTTTTCACACCCACTGCTTTAGCAGTGGCAAGTCAGAACTTAAAAAATTAAGTTCCGACTTAATATCATTCAAAGGATGCAGAGGGGTGAACATATTTGGAAGTAATTAATCTCAGGGAAAAAATTCTTCATCTTTTTCATCCCCTGTTCTTTTTCCAGCTGAAGGAGTGAACTGAATCTGTGCAGCCATACTGTTTGAGAAAGACAGAAGACAGTTTGAACCATGGCAAGCCAGGTAAGATCATGTGGTCAGAAATACAGGCTTGCAGTGCCTAAATGGATTCCAGAACCATACTCAGAATTCCTAGTAAATGTAAAGCTGAAATAGCTAGCTTGCTCTGAGTTGGGTGTTCTTTTAGTCCTGTGATTTCTTCCGGCAACGTGGTAATTGGTGGCTGTCCTCTGGACACTTAATTGTGTCAACTGAAGCAGATTGGGGGCATAACGTTAAGTTTCGCAGTTTGGATTATTTGAGTGTGAGTTCTTCTGAAGGACCTTGCGTGTAACACTCTCTATATAAGATACATGTAGAGGTGTTATAGAGGAAGAACGATAAAGCCTGCGTAAGTAAAAGCTGTGGAACATCATTCTCATTTTTGGAAGTCCTTGTTCTTCAGAATCTTGAGAGGGAGGCAACCTGTTTGCCTGTTTCCTCTGGCTGTTTCCTCTCCTTTTTTTTGTGCAGTTACCCCACTCACTTCCTTTTTGAACTGTGGTTTTTGGGGTTTTAGTTTTTTCTTTTTTTTTCCTTTTTTTTTTTTTTTTTTTTTTTTTTGCTAAGAGGCACTTTTTTATGCCTCTTCCTTCCTGGCCTTGCGTCTGGGTTCACGTTTTCCCTCAGCCAAGCTGGTGCCTGTTCCTGGTCTGCTTTCTCCTTACATTCCATTCATTGGCCTCTTGTCGTTGTTCCTGGCCTGGGAGAGTGACTCACTGCTGGGTAGTAAGGAGAGGCATCTCACAGAAGAAGAATTCCTAGGTGAGGGGAAGATAGGGACAGCGGAGGTCCCTTTTGGAAGAGTGACGATTTCCCTGCCTCCTCATCAGTCAGACTGTGCTGCAGCAGGATTTTTTGCGTCCTGGAGCTCAAGTGGAACACAGTCCAGTCCTGAAGCTAATTAACATTTAGGATTGGCCAGCATCAAAGGGCTATCTGCTTTTTCCCTAATTCCCAGAGGAAGCTGTCAATCCTTTAGCCAGCTTGACAAGTCAGGGGAATATGGCTGTTCATACAATCCTTTGGCTCTGTTATTTTTGCCAGGCGTTTTCCCCAGAGGCTGCTTTCCCTCATGGGAGGCGGAGGGAGAAATGGGACCCCAGGCTTCTTTCAAGGGCAAGGTGAATATGGGGAAATCACCTGTGGTGATGGGGAGTGGGAGGGAGGAATGTAAATGAGGCTAAAAACTATAAAGGTGATTTTTTTTCTCCCTACAGGACTTGATGGCGAAAAAAAGAGAATGTCTCCAGGCATACAGCTGGTGGAGAACACCACAGAAGAAACGGAAGAAAAAGAACAAAATAAAACCAGGAAGAATAGAGTTTGTCCCTAGTAGTACTAATACGACCAGGTAAAGACCTTTAGAATGGAGAAGCCTTACCTGTTTAAATTAATGATGACTAGTGAATGCCATCACTTAGTTTTAAAATCCTGAAATGGCACACGTAGTGCCTATACTATAAGTATTGCTTATGGAATTGTATTGCCAGTAGAATATTCAGGATTTTTTTTTCTAGTTTGTCTCTCTCATAATCACTTAAAGTGGTGGCAAAATAGTCATAGCTCTTTTGAATCATGGCTGTAACTTAATAGTTTTTTGTGGTGTTTTTGGGTGCCCTGCCCTTCGGACAGCAAATATTACTTTTTAATCCCTTCTAAAAGTTTTTTTTAATAAATATGGGTCTTTGTTAAAATGCTTTCTTTTGCAAAAGTGGTAGAATGGACATTCTACTGTAGTAGTGATGGCATTGCGGTTCTGTACATTGCTCAGCAGAGTTTTGCAATCTGTTCATATTTTTGTCTCTGTATTTGTTCAGTGATAACTGCCTGCTTGTATGTTGGGTACTTGAATACTGCAGTGAGCTATGTTAGTCTCAAACTTGACCGTGGTTCTCTTTTACCTTTTTAAAGACCAGATTATTCAATATTTGTTGGGGAGCTTACTCCAGAAGTGGATGATTTCCAGCTTTATGACTATTTCCTAAAGAGGTACCCCTCATGTATTGACTGCAAAATAGCAACAGACCTGCTGGGATATTCCAGGTAACATTTGAAAATGTTTAAATGGTGTCATTATGTTTGCTTCTATAAGTAATATATAAGAACCTGCATCAGAACTGTTTCTCCATTTTCTTTGGAGGCGGGAAGAGAGAGATTAGCCTTTGGCATTATTTTTTTAACAGCATAGATCCATGTATTTCTCAAACCTTATGGTTAGTTTAAGCAGTTAATGTGATAAGCTTCTATTCAGCCATATGAATATCTACATGAAGCTAGACAGTGGGAGAAGGGGGACCTCTGCATGGACATGTGCACTGCTGTGCCTATCTGCAGCAGTGTGTCCACTTAGTCATCTGCAGTACTGAAGACAAGCTAATTCCCTTTTTACATGTAAAGAAAACTGTAAGGCCTGGCAAATCTTAGGGGGTTGGGAGACCAAACTTTCAATATTAGTAAATAAAGCTTAGTGGAAGTTACACTGGCCAGACAGTGAGTCAAGCAGGGATGAGCAAGTTTGCTGTTCAGACAACTCTGGCTGTAATGGACTAATTCAAAACAACTTGAAAAAAAGGAAAAAGGAAATCTGAGAAAGCTAATTTAAAAAGAATGTTAGAGATGTACTGCTGTAGGAGTGGTTTTAATACTAAGAGATAAATGGCCTGCTGTAAGTGCAGAAATATGGAATCTGGTTAGTTAAATAGTTAAAACTTATTGTTTTGCTGCCTTTCAGCAAGGTACATCTTAATGCTGTCAACAAGCTTTTTGCTTCTGGCCCAAGTTTTTAATTTTGTAAAAGCATCTTCTGTGCATGTGCACATGCCAGAGAGGTTGCTTAGGTAATAAAAGCTATAGTAGCTACTATTTTCTGTTTTCATGAAGACAGAAATTGCATTCATTAGCTTTGTAACTGTTATGAATACTAGAATTTGTTTTCTCCCTTTTGAAAATTGTAGAGGGTATGCCTTTGTCAGATTTGGTGAGCAAGGTGATCAGATGAGGGCACTGCAAGACTGCCAGAATGCACCAGGTCTGGGGGGAAAACGAATCCGGCTGAGCATAGGAATTTCTAAAAGGTAACAAATGAGTTGTGCATTGATACAGTAATTCTGAATAATCGGATTCTTTTCGCTCTGCCTTTGTAAAGACTGTGGCCCGTGCTATAATGGCTGTACACACGATGCAGTCTACAAAACCAAAATCACAGAAGCATTATGTTTGGACTACCTGGATTCATCAACCTCTTTCAGTATTTCTGGGGGAATCCAACTCCTAAGTCTAGCCAGATTGTATAACTTGGGCTTAGCTGTTGTAACCAGCCTTAATTCTTACACTGGTGAAGCTGAACGCATTTGTAAATATTTTTTGGGTTTGGGTCTGAAGAAGGTAGAAGGGACAACAAGTGTTTGGTTTTTATGCTAGGAAGCTTTTCTTCTAGATGTTTCCCCCTAGTTTAGGCAAGCTCGTGTGTTGCTAGTTTTAAAGTAGGCTGGCAGAGGAAGGAACTCCTTAGTGGAAAAATACAGAATATAGAGGGGAAGAAGCCAAAGGAGATGTTGCTTGAACAATTTATTTAGGATACTATTCTTTACTTTTCAAGTAATCAGAGCAGTAGGAAATTCTAAAGTTGATTGGTTTTGAGAGGGTTTTTTATTCTGCCAGCACAGTTCTCTCAGTTATTTAAGACAATTCAGTTGGAGTCTTGATACCAAATTTGATAAACTTTGACCCAGAATACAGACAAATATATAGAACTTCATATAAAACAATTTCAGTATATATTCATGAGGGTAGTTTGTGTGTTCTCTTGGAAGACTAAAAACAACTGCTTCTGTTTCTTTTTACCCTGGATAATTTTGCTAATGTTGCCTTGTTGCTCTGGAACAGAAATGCTCTTAACCAAGAGAGCATTGTCCAGAATTGCATTGACTAAATTGCTTTGAAAATAGGAAGAGGTCCCAAAGAAACAGGTTTTCTCACATTTGCTATCCAGATAAATATTAGCAGCATTTTCAGATTTTTCTTTCCTACAGAGATGGATGTAGGAGACAAGTTGAAAGCAGAAGACTTTGAGACATTATGTAATCATTTGTTTACCACAGTAGTAACACAGTAGAATACCTATTTATTAGAATGTATGTGTAGCTTCACAGTAATGAAAAAAATGTGGGTATTAAAATAAACATCGCTAATCTATACCTGTTTCTAAATGGCTGAGTACTGAGCTCTCCTAGCATCAAAATATCTAGCCATCAGAGCAGTTCGTCACTAAGTCACATTGGAAACTCTATTTCTGAGCTCCTTCAGTTTGTGTTCTTGGCAAAAAACCTTGATCTGAGTTTTCTGTAGCGAAGTGGAGATACAGAGAAATTGGACTCTGCAAACAGGAGTTTTGCTTGCACTTAAACAGTGAAGAAATGTCTAAGCATAGGGGATTTCTTGGAATGTGCAGCTGGCTTATCTGAATGTTTTTTATGTAGTGTATCTCTGTTAGTACAGGCAGTACTTTTGCAGTGATACTTGTTAGTGTGTGAAGTTTTCCCTGAGGAAAAATCTGCTTAGGAAAGAGAAAGTAGTGAAAACGAATTGCCTGGCCCTTTGGTCTTGAGAACCAATGAGTTTTGTCATATTCCTGCTGCTGCAGCTTCATTCTGGACAATGGCAGTGCTGACTTAACCTGGCAGCTATGCTTTGTCAACTGCCCATGGACTAAAAATTGAGTAGGTGAAGGGTAGGCATGGTAAATTGGCAGGCAGTGTCAGATGCTCCTCTGAAGCAGATAATCTGACTTCACCTCTTTTTTTCTGGAAATAACAAGATTTAGTATTAACCAAATAAAAGATAGAAGGGCTAATTAAGATTTTAAATCTTTAAAGCATCTTTAAAAGTGTCTTTAAAGCAGTGGTACGTTATAAAGGTCTGTGGTCTTAATAAATGATTTTTTTTTTATCAGCAACTTGCTTAAATGGATACTAAAAGTACTCAAACTGATTACAGATAAATGTAATTGAGTTAATCCATGGAAATAATTACTTTTGGCATTGCTGAAGGTGAGAGTATTTGCTTCTGTATAAACATGAGACACTGTGCTGTGACTTAAAACTGTTGCTTAGGCAACTATTTAGAAAAGCTTCCTTTTAAACTTGGAAGCCAGTAAATTATGGCAAATTGTTTAACTTCAGCGGTGGGTTTACAGTTTGTTGTTCTCAAACTCTAACTGTATATAACTTCTCATGTTTCAGACTGAAAGCAGAATTCCAGCGGTACCAGTCATACAACTATAACGATTATTACCAAGATTATCAGAACTACTACTCACAGTGGAATTATGATCCTTATGCTGACTACAACTACAGCTCCTATACCCCCTATGATAGCATGCAAGCTGTCGGAGAATGCTCTTTAGGAGATGCTGTTATGGCTCCAGCTGTGTTTGAGGTAAAGATACTACACACTTGATTAAAAAAATCACAAATAACAAGTTGTATGAATTGTGTAAGTCAGAGCAAAAAAGTCCTAAAAATTAAATCCTGTTCAGCTTAGTGTGGAGGTTATATATATTGGCAGACATCATTGAGAGCTATATTTGATTTAAATGCTTCAGTAGTGCATCTATGGAATTAGATATTTATACACCACTATTTGTTCATGTATGCCAGATAACAGTTGTGAAGCATAATTGTGTAGGCTTTCGTCCTATTCTTGATATACTTTTCTTGAAGAAAATTAAAGAATTACTGTAACATGATCTTATCTGAATTAGTTTATCAGTTGCAACTTCTAAAAGTCCTTTCCAAGCTGAACTTATACTATGGTTTTCTAAACAAAGAAACAAACGACCCCCAAACCTAAACAAACCAACAAAACCCCCCAAACCACTAAAAAACAACAACAAACACCCTGCAAATAAACCCTCCCCAACAAACACCACCTCCCCCTGCTTATTCTGTAGTTGTGGGAGGAGGAAATGGTTTGGAAGTACAACATTATTTTGGATTTGTGATGCTTTCTGAAATGGATTGAATAAATTTTCTTTTTTTTTTTTTTAGGAAGCTTCAGCTATGACTGAAATCAACGATGACCTAATAACTGAAGGTAATGATAATTCTATCACTGCAAATCAAATTTAGCCATGCTTCTGCCCTTTAACAATACAAGCCAATGACTATTGGATGAAGAATGTTTTTGAATTTCAGCTGATGTAGTAGGATCCTCTATGGGTTATAGCATAGAGGAGGTAGGATTTTAAAGCAAATAGTGTACACCATGTCGAGTAGAATGGGACATTGTCAACAGTAATTCACAGTAGGTGTCTTTAACTTTTGCCTTCATTCTCCTTCCAAAATGACCTATTAGAGGACTTAGCATATCTTTGTATAAATTCTGCTAAAATCATTGTATGTTAAACTCATTAATAGGCAAAAGCTTGGTTTTCCAAAACCTGAGATAAAAGCTTATGTTGCAGATCTTAAATGGAGGATTCAACTTGCACTTAAGTTCTGTAGAAGATCTTTGTTTGGCCTGGAAGGTTTGTAGACAGTTCCTCACAGAGAGACATCTTGTGTTAGCATTCAGAAATTTTATCCTGCCTAACATATATTGTGGTAGAAATTATTTAAATGGATTTTGGTAGATTATCAGGCTTAATTATCCTTAAATCTGCACTTTATATTGAAATAGCAGTATGGTCCTAGCATTCTAATAACACATATTCCAAAAGAAGCTGGACTTGTCAGGTTTGTTGAAATTCTAGGTGTGAATAAACATCTTATTACATTTACTATTAAATATACTAGATTTGGCTAAAATACATTTTATGAGACATTTACTTCAGGGTTTTGTGTGCAACCTTTCCAAGATCTGACACTCGTACTTACCAGGCTTTTATTTTCAGATCCACAGCTGTACTTGGATGTTGATGAAATGAACAGACAATTCATGGAGACAAGTGAAGAACTCTATGATGCCCTCATGAATTGTCACTGGCAACCTCTGGATACGGTCACTTCTGACATCCCCTCTGCTATTTAAGTGTCTTATATAGCATGACCGTTATGACCAAGGTGCTAAAACTACATTTCTTCTACATTACTCTAGATCATAAGTTTTAAAGCACAATGATAGATTGGGTTTTTTTGCTATGCTTTTGACAGTTTCTGTAATCTTTTTTTTTTTTTTTTTTGTTCATCACTTGGAGCGTCTTGAAATCATGTAAATATTCTAGAAATGTAAAGAGTTCAATGGGGTCTAAAGATAGACTTGCCTGTGTAAATAAAATTTTGTTTCTGCAAACCTGCCAGCAAGGGATTTTACTTACATGTGTGAAACACATTCTCTTCTGGCTTGTTGAATTTAGCTGGAGGCAGTAGGGGTATTTCACCTGTCTTTGGTATGGGCAGCAGGACTAGCAAGAACTAGCTCTCACATACTTCCAAGTTACCTAGGCAATCTCTTACAAGCTCTTAACACACTTTATCTGTACAGTTTTAACATACAGAAGGGCAAACTTTCAGCTGCCATAGCTGCAAACATTCCAAAGACTAAGGATGATACCTACTGATAATTCTATTTCTGCCATTCTTGTTAGTCTTCTCAACTGATGCTGTACAGCAAAGAAACTGGTGTAACATAATATGTGTTCTTAACCCTGAAAATCCTTGGAGAAGACTTTGGTTTAAAGGAGGAAGAATAACCCATCAGGAGTTATAGTATCCTAGCTAGTAACAACTCTTCAACTAAGTTTCATCCTATCCTAAACATCTGTTACTTGTTCAGTCTTCATGCTCGAAGGTTTCATAGTGATGAGGTTATAATTCTTAGTAGGATGACAGTGTTCAGTATTCAAAGGAGATTAGGGGAGATGGCAATGAAGAATGTTCTGCTTTAAGATAGCAACTTCTGAGTGGTTTCCTCTAAACTTAATATCTGGCAGGGTATAAAGTGTTTTCCAGGCATAGGGACAACCTAAGCTGCTGTGTATGCAAAAGTATTTACTGCTTAATGTATGCAATAAAATAAATTTAGGCTGAAAACAGAAGAATACTCTTTGAAGAGAAAAAGGTAGAAATCATCAGATAGCTAATAGCCATGAAAGCTACTAAAGCTAGTCAAGTAGGTAATGATACCTCCTTTAGGGTACTGCCATGTGTGTTTTGGGAGCAATCTAAACCAGAATTGCTAGAATGGCAGATAAGAATGAAGTCCTCTGGCTTTTTTTTTTTTTTTTAAATGACTTAAGTACATTAAAGTGGTCACAACCTATATGCTGTTCTTAAATGTGAAACTAATTCTGCATTGCAGAGTGATGACTTGGCACAGGAAGTCCCTTCTAGCTGCTCACCAGAATCTCCATATTTTCTCTTCACAGTTTAATTTCAGCTACATTTCTTTTTCAAAGTTCTGCCCATGAAACGCAGATGCTCTAAACTAGAAAAGGGTTTTAGAGTGCTATAGGAAGATCATTCTTCCTGGATTTTATCCAGATGTGTATGTGGAGAGAAAACAAAACAATTCATTTAGACAGGGAGTGTACTATCACAGTTTTAGCAACTGTTTCCCTGGTTTGAAGAGAACTAGTTATGTTGTGGCTGTAAAGTGGGCTTTCTTAGGTGAAGGCTTCCCTTGTGTGAACGGGTCAGTTCTTGGAGGATGATAGTAGGGAGATTATTGATGGGAATGTGACAGAAAGTGGAATAAATGAAGCAAAGAGAATCTGGATGGGAAAGGGAGTACTTGTGCATATGTAGAATTGTTTCAGGGTACTGCAGAAGCGGGGGGGGACTTAAGATAGTAGATGCAGGCCCCTTGAATTTGGATAGGAGCATTAAAGCTTCACAACTACACTGGATTTGATACCACTTCAGTTGTAGTGCATAGCTGTGGTACTTGAGCTTGGTACTAAAAAGATGTTGCTAAGCAAAGGATTTCGTATCTAGCAAGCGCTATCATCGCAAGCAACAAGACACTTCCGCGTCTGTGCCTGGGTTATATCCTGCTTTGAAGTGCATATCCTGCTTTGCATAGCATTACATAACACCATAATGAAGTTGCAGCAAGTAATTTGTGGAAACCTTTTATTGTGTTTCCAGTTAAAAATGTGATGCTAAAGATGTATGTGGGCTTGGCAGAACTACTATGGAGTATCTGCTGATTTTTAGTATTTGGGAGGTTGACCTGTGTGTGAACTATGTAATGAGGGGCCCATGTAGTGGTGTGATTTCACTTGGCATATAAACCTCAAAGTCAGTCTGTAGCCACCACATTTATGCAGATTTTACATGTTAACAAGGTCTTTATGCTTTGCATTAGAGACTGTTTTCAGATATGCTTGCACCTTCTGTTCTGGCCTGTAAAGTATCCATATAGGGAAAATACTGTTATGAAATGTACTGAAAGAGGTTGTTTGGGCCATTAGTTCTGCACACTTGAGAAATGTTGGGAAATACATTTTCTTCCAGTCAACATACAAGAAGAGAGAGGTGAGGAAGGGAGTCTGCTGGTTGCAGCCCATGGGATACCTGTTCTAAAGTAGCTCTCTGACTTTGTTTTCTGTCTCCCAAGCTTTACTAGCCTATCCTGCTTTCCAGTTAGGAGTGCATATATGGGATCAAGCACGTGTAGAGCACGTTCTTTACTGTAAAGGCATACTGAAAAAACTTCTTTCTGCGTGGGTGTAAGCCCAAATTCAGGAAAAAGTGAGCACACTGGAACTGTTGGAGTGCATTGCTGAGACTTTTAAGTGAGGAAACTTACAGCTCTGGTACTGCCTGCATTAGCTAGCTTACATGAAGACCTGAATGTGTACATAATACAGATGCCTGATATCAGTTCTACAAAGATCTGATTGCAGTAGAAACATAAAAAAAATATTGGAAGCAGTGTTTTCAACACCACGCTATTTCACTTTGTCCAGTTGTGTTTTGTCTGTTTTACCTAGCTGAAATGTTGTGGGTTGGTTTTTTTAAAAAAAAAAAAAGTCTGATGAAGGTTTTTTATCTTTTGGAAGGATATTTAGTGTTGGTTTTATGAACTCTTTATTGTACCTGGCTGTGATAGATAGTGCCTTTACCTAAAACCTGCTAATTTCTTGAAGAAGAGTAATGCTTTTGTTTTCTATCACTTCTCTGAACAGAAAAGCTTTAGTACCATGGTTTGAGGGGCTATTGATCCTGCAGTCAGTGAACAGGGAGAAAAACAGGCTAAAAAAAGGCAAAGAGTACTTAAAAGGCTACAAAAAGGTTCAATGGTACTTAAGCCGTGAATGTTTCTTTTTGCAGGGATGCTCTTGGACCAACAGCTTCTTTCTAGCGCTACCTCAAATTAACTTGCAGATATAACTCACAGGGAAGATTGATCATAAGGTGATGATCACTATCATTCTGCTGGAGATATATATATATTTGCCTTTTGTTTTGTCTCATTTTTAATGACATTTATTTAATTTCAGTGACTCATGTCAATAGACTTTGTTTGACTACATCGACAAGTATTTCTGAGTCATGAGTTTCATTAAAGGCATGTCACCATATGAAAATTGTTCTAAATAAGTAAAATGGAAGTAAAATAAGTAAATAAAGAAGCACTTGAATTTACAGAGCAAATGTAGTGTAGCTGCCTTTGACACATACTTGGAAGAGAATATTGCGATTACAGCTTACCTTATACACTTAGCATGCATCAGAAAGAGCAAAACTTGTTTCAGTTTTGCCCAGCTCCTACGTGTCCAGCACAGGAGGGAGTTTAGTCAGTGCCCCACACAGGTACCACTTTAGAAGCCGGTATTGTTACTAATGAGTCTCTGTTACCAAAGGGCACTGTTTATACCCCTTTGTAAATCCTGCTCTTCCCATAATGGAAATGCATTATGATACCCTTCCTTCCTCTCCCTGAAGTTCATAGTTACCATGCTGCTTGGTTCCTGGAGAGAGCTACAAATCCAGGCTACAATACTTTTTTTATTTATTTATTTTGATGATTATATTGATGATTATCTTGAGATATGTGTTGTAGAAACAGTGTCATCCTAAAGCTAGTCATCAGATGTCGCACATGGGCAGTTTACACAAGATGAGGTGGTTCTTGCAGGTGACTTCTAAACCCACATGTTCCACATTCTGGAAAGGATTCTCTGTAATTGTGAGTCATCTCATGCACGTAAAATTGTATTTACAAGGGTGGGGCAGGAGGGGAGGGGTCTGGAGTTCCAAAGGTGTAGTTCATGAGAAGAAATATCTGGAAAGTAACTCCACCCTGGCTGGGGTTTTTGGAAATGGCTATCTCCTTTAGATGATTATGAACATGGAACTAAGAAATTGAGGAGTTAAGTCAGGTAGGAGAGCTGGGAAGGCACAATGTGGTTAAAAAAACCTTGGGCAGCACAGAATTCCCCAGTAAAATTTCTTCTAAAAGCTGTTCCTCTGCTGTTGCTGCTGGTTTACATTTCTGCAGGCCTTCAGAATTGCCCTTGCTGTTTTGATACTCCCTTAATTCCCCCCAGCACTCCCAGTTTTGCATTCTTTCTTTAGGTGTGTGCTGGACCAAATATTTTTATTTTCGGTGTAAGGAGTGTGTGGTACATCACAGCTCTTCCACAGTTAAGTACCTGGGCCTCACTCTATATTAGTAAATTTTTAGTACATTCTGGTTTGGATTGGGTTTTCTTGTGAACATTTTTATTGACTTGTATGTAGGGAAGGTGCTTGTGATTTTCTGCTCTGCTCCGTGATTCCCAAGGCAGGTGAATGCTATAAATAAGATGCAGAGCCATAGATTTTTCTCAACTGTAGTCTCAGTAGAATTTAAAAACAAAACAAAATACATTTTTACATATTTTAATTTTGTAATAGGAATGCACTCTTCCTCATGTTTTGAGGAGGAAAAAAGCTGTGTCACAGCTTTTCCCCCCCACCTGCTCCCAACCTGCTAAAAATGGGCGACGACAAACCTGCACCATCGCAGTTCCCATTGCTTACACAGACGCAATGGATAACGGCATCCCGGGGGAGCACCGCGTACCTCCTGGTGCACTTTTTCCTGCCGCCTTCCCCACGCTGACCTTCGCCGGCTCCTCAGCAGGAACAAGGGAACATCTGCCCCGCCGCCGTCCCTCGGGGGAAGCACAGGGTAGGCAAGTTGTGTCCCCTGGGCGGGAACAGCGTCTGGGCCGCCAGAGCATTCAAATATCCGAAGGGTGGGTGCCAGGAGGACGGACCCGAGCTACTCTTGGGGGTGCCCTGCAATAGGACGAGAGACAATGGGCAGAAACTGAAGCACAGGAAGTTCCACCCGAATATGAGGAAGAACTTTACTACGCTCGTGACCGCGCATGGAACTGACTGCTCAGAGACATTGTGGATTCCCCCACTAGGGATATTCAAAAATCGTCTGAATGCAATCCTGTGCCATGGGCTCTAGGACGACCCTGCTTGAGCAGGGAGGTTAGACTTGGATGACCAACGGTGGTCTCTTCCAACCTGGCCCGTTCCCTGCGAAGCGCCGTGGGAAGAAGGGAGAAGGCGGAGGAGCCGCCCCCGCCTCCGGGGCTCACCCGGGCACAAACCTCCGCTCCCAGCCTTCGAGTCGTCCCTGAGCCGCGCCCAGGGGTGGACTTTCCCCTCCCTCCACCACGTTCCTCTGCGGGTCGCGGCAGAGCTCAGCGCGCAGTTTTCCCGCGCAGCCGGCCCGTCCCGGCCCGTCCCCTCCCTCCTTTCCCGTTCCCCCGGGAGCGGGGCCGGCGCGCCGGGGGCTGCCAGGGCCCCACCGGCCCGGCGCCGCTGGTGTGACGCGCCACGCGCGGCTTATGACGCGCGTGCGCGGCCTCGGGGCGGCCGGCCGTGTGGTTGGTCAGGCGGGAGGCCGGGCCGCGGGGAGGTGCTGCACGGCGGCGGCGGCGAGGCGGCTCGGGCCCACGGGCGGGCGGGCGACGGACAGCGCAACAGAGGGCCCGCCGCCGGGCGGGAGAGAGCGCGAGCGAGGAGCGCGGGAGCGCCGAGGGGCAGGAGAGACGTGAGAGGGCCACCCAGAAAGGGCGGAAGAGGCGCGAGCCGAGCGGCGCGCGGGGAGGGTGCGGGCCCGGAGGGCCGCGGAGGAGCCCCCCCGCGCGCCTGCGCCGCCAGGAGGCCGCGCCGCGGCGCGTGGCGGGCGGGAGCGGCGGGGGGACGGAGGTCGGCCGCGCCCCGAGGCGCGTCCCGCGGGCCCGTGACGATGGTGGAACAGGGCGCGGCCTGGGCCCGCGGCGGGGCTGCGCGGCCCGCACCACCGAGCAGGAAGCGAGGAGGAGGAGAGCCGCCGGCGGGCGCGGCGTGGGGGAAGGCGTCGGATCGCATCATGGCCTCGGTGGCAGCGGCGGCGGCGGCAAGATCCGGATCCGGCGGCACCACCTGGGAGCCGGGAAGCCACCCTACACGAGGGGCAAGCAGCAGGTGAGGCCGCACGTCAGCCCGGTGAACCCCTTCCCCTGCACCCGCTCCTCTCCCCCAGCGCTCCCAATCAGCGGCGGAGAGGCGCCGCTGGGAAGGCCCGGCCCGGCCCGCCCGGCGGAGCCGCCTCTTCCCTGCGCCACCCCTCTGCCCTCCACACAGCCCCACGTGCGCGGCTGCGGGCCGGCATTTCCCGGTGGAGTGGCCGCCGGGGAGGGAGGAGGGAAGGGTTTCCCGCCGGGGCCGCGGGGATTGTGGGATTTCCGGGCGCTCGCTCCGCTTCCGGCCCCAGCCGGCCGCGAGGGGCTCCTTCACCTCCCCTTTGTCCTCAACGCCCGTGCCCCGCTCGGAAGAGCGAAGCGGAGGAGGAGGTGGCCGGCTGGAAGGGGTAGGTACGCATTCTCTCCACTGGCGAATGGAGCGGGCTGGCTCCCGCTCTGCGGGATGCTCGTTTTGTCTCCGGGCTGCCTGGTTAAATTGGTTTAGGTTGCGTTACCAAGTGTAGTTACTCCTCAGATTTAAGTGCATCGCTTCCAATATGTTCTTTCTTGGCGAATTCCATATTGTGGATTAGTTTGTGAGGGTGCTGAGTAGGTAGGCATCTTTCATTGTTTTCTCTTTTTCTTTGTAGGATTCTGCCTGCAGAACCCTTAGGTCTGCATTTGGTCGTTTTTTCAGTGTCTTGCCTGTGCTTAAACGTGCAGTGCAACTGAAATGTAGCTCTTAGTCATAAGGCAGTTTTTCCTCCTTTGTATTGTAGGACAGAGTTAGATGGATTCAAAAAAACTCGCTTTTTGTAAATTGCGATACAAAGGTCCTACACCATCTAGAGTGACTGCAGAGGGAAGAAGCAGAGATCCTTCCCATCTGCTGTTTGCCAAGAAATTTCAAGATACCCAGAAACTGTGCTCTGGAAATGCCTTCCACGTGTATTTATGAACCTGAAATTGATTGTTCAGCTAAAACGTTTACATTATTAAATCGGTAGTATAAGCTAGGGGATTGAATATTATATGCAAAATTGAGGGGGTGTTACACACGAGTTCTTGCTCAATTAGTCTTTATTCTTTGGGAAGTACTATACTTAGTCTTTTATATAGTAAACTGCTCAGCAATGTCCTTGTAAAGCTGTCAAGGGGATGCTTCATCCAAAGAATCACTGCACTTACAGAGCAAATGTTGAAAGTTCTTATGTGAGTGATGTAAGGATAACATTTAAATTGTGATATCTTATATGTGTTGATACTATGTAGATAGCTGGTAAACCTTACACATGAATTTAAAATAATTAACGTAGATGGTTTCCTGACTCTTCTATTGTTTGTTGTCTCTCTGTGCTTTCCAGTAGGTTTATTTAAACAATGTGCCAAAGCAAACACGTGCTTGGGGATATCTGTGGGATTCTGCCCAGAGAATGGGTGCTGCAAATCGAATACGCAGACCAAATTAACAAGTAATATGTTGGGGGAAATATGGTAAATAGGAAAACCAGTAGGTGTCAGATATGTACATTTGTTACAACGGGTAGCTTTTTTAACCCTGTGCAGGTTGCTAACTTGCATTACATAAAAAGATGAACTCTAGGTAGATAAGTGACTTAAATTGAAATTAATCAAAGTGTTCCTATTTTCAATATAACATCTACTCTGCAGAAGTATTCCATGATTTGGTGTTGTCTCTCAGTAATGAGTTTGGGAAGACATGAAAGTGCTCAATGCAGTTTTGATATGAGGTTATACCCCTCATTCTGAACCCCTGATCCCCTAATTATTATCAATAAAGTAAGTTCGTAGAAATACTTTATTAGAGCTTTTCTAGGTGCTTGCAGTCAAGACTGCAGTCCTGAAAACTCCCTCATCAAGCTCTGAAGGTGCCTAAGCACTGTACACAGTATAGCTAATAGCTTTAAAGTTCCTAGGCTATCTAATTTTTTTTCCACTTGAATGAGAGGTGAGTAGCACAATATCAGGCTTACAATTGTAAGCCTGGTGTCATTTTTTTTGGTGTCTTGTTATGCTTTCTCGATGTTATTATTTTGCCATAGTCTCCCAGGGAGCTCAGTCAGGTGAGAATTCTCCAATCATGTCCAACATGTGCTGCAGAGTCAGTCTTGTATTAAGTGCAGTGATGGCTTTAGAAGACAATTGGAAGAGGAGATGCTGCTGCTTTTCAGAGATGCTTAG